GGGGGGGGGGTTGGGGGGGCGGGGGGGGGGTGGGGCACAACCAGCTGGGGAAGAGGGCTGGGAGGGGGAAGTGGTGCTGCTGGGTGCCGGGAGCTGTTTATAGCCGGAGATGGTGGGTGGGAGCCGGGAGCAGGAGCCGGATCCGGCTTGGCACAGATCCCAGCTCTGGCCTGACTCGTCCATTCTGCTCTCTGGGTGCCGGAGCCTGGCACAGCCTGGAGCGTCCTGGGTGGCCCAGGGGCCCCGGTTCATGTGCATGTCAGTGTGTGGCTGTGATGTGGCCCCAGTGCGTGTGCACATGCTTATTGCCTGGGAGCACTGTTCTGGGATAGGTGTCTGGCCTGTGTGATGCCAGGGAGCAGACATCACTGGGGACAAAGGCGGCTGGGTGATCCTAGATGGTCCTATCCCAGTGTGCCCCGAAAAGGGAAGGGGGGTCGGGGTGTAGGGTGCGCACTGATGAGCATTGGTAGGGGGTGCTGTGCTCCAAGGAGGGAAGGAAACCCACCAGGGCCCGGGAGCCTTGCCAGGGAATTTGCTGGGTGCAAGTTTCTCCTGCCTGTCTCCTCTCTCACTCTGCCATTTCTAGAGTTCCATTGCCCCCGGCCAGAGGTGGCTGCATCTCATGGTCTGTAGACTGTGCAGGCTCTCTGTATAGGAGGGGCAGGCATGTGGGTGGAGGCTGAATGCAGGCATGGGGTGGGTTTATGATCTGCCCCCCTTTGCAGACCCAGCCATGTGGGGGGAAGCTGTCTTGAAATCTCCCCCGCCTTTCTCCTTTCTCCTGTTGTCCCCAGCCTGGCTCTCCCACAGTGTCCTCAGGTGCCCTTCCCCCCCTTGTATCTCTTGCTCCCCCAGCCTGGGTTTCCCCATTTCCAATGTCTCTGGCTCCTCTGCCCCAGCCTGGGCATCTCCTTCCTTGCACACCTGCCTCCCCACCCTGCCTAGGCTTCCCCCTCTTTGTGCCTGCCCCACTTCCAGCTGGGCTCCGTCCCTTTCCTGTGCCCTGCAAGGGATCACCCCGGGCCCCCTGCTCTTCCTGGCACCCCAGGCCCACTGCCGGCTTGTCCCTGCCTGGCTGGGGGAGTATTTTTAGCGACGCCCGCCCCCACTCCACTCCAATGACGGCAGAGCCAAGCCCAGCCGAGCTCTGAGTCGCTGCCTCCCGGAGACGCAGGGGCCTCTCTGCTTACGCAGCCTGGGGGCTAAAAATAACCTGCTGGGGGCGGCTGCTCACCTGCGCCAGCTGGGGGCTGCCTTGTGTGTCCTCGCCAGCATGTGGTATCCACAGGGGCGGGGAGCCCGAACTCCTGGGTTCTCTCCCTGGCTCGCAGGATTGGGAGGGGCGTTGGGTTCTAGTAGGTGGGTAGGGAGCCAGGACTCCTGGGTTCTCTCCCTGGCTTGGAGGATCTGGAGGGGAGGGGGTTGGGTTCTAGTAGGTGGGGGCGGAGCTGGGAGCCAGGTCTCCTGGGTTCTCTCCTTGGCTTTTGCCAGAGACTAGTATGATTTGGGGGTTAAATCCCTTCCCTCTCTGTGCCTCAGTTGCTTGCTCTGGAAGGGAGTAATGGGGCTGGCCCCCCAGCCCTGCTGTGATGTGTATGAAAATGCCATGGGATCTCCCTGGGGTCACAGCCTCTGGGTGACACCCAGTGACCCTGTGGGGCCCCTCCCACTCAGGGAACCAGTGTGTGTCTCTTACTCTTGCTTTCTTTCTCTCTCTTGTTCTGCGGTCCAGCCCCCCTGGCAGTGCAGAATTGTCTCTGGGGGCCCCTCCCATGGCCCGAGGCTGAACCCCCAGGTACCCCCGCCCCGGGCACCAGCTGTCTGTGTGGTCTCACCAATGCCATGGCCACAGTCTGGCATGTTCTGCTCACGCCCCGGGAAGTAGAGGACCCCCGAGCTTGGCTGCCCACACGCTCTCCTCAGCAGCTCCAGAGCCCATGTCTCAGTCGTCTTCCCCTCCCTCCCTTTCCCTGTCCCATGCTTGTGTCATGGCACCGGATTCACTGTGTTTGCCCCCCTGCACGGGACTCACTCCAATGGCACGAGCCCCGGCCGCCAGCTCCCCTCTCACCGCTGCCCTCCCCTGCAGAGCCCGCCTCATGCAGAGCTTCAAGGAGTCGCACTCCCATGAGTCACTGCTCAGTCCCAGCAGCGCTGCAGAGGCCCTGGAGCTCAACCTGGACGAGGACTCTGTCATCAAACCCGTGCATAGCAGCATCCTGGGCCAGGAGTTCTGCTTCGAGGTGCCCAGCCTTAGCACTGCTGTGGGGCGGGAGGGCAAGGCGCTGGGAGCCCGGACGCTGGATCTGTCTCAGCTCTGGGAGTGAGGCTGGTGGGTCGGAGCAGGACTCCTGGGCTCTCTCCTGTCTCTGGGAGGGGAGTGGGGGCTGGGGGGTCAGAGCAGGGGGCTAGGAGCCAGAACTCCTGGGGTCTCTCCCGTCTCTGGGAGGGGAGTGGGGGCTGGGGGGTCAGAGCAGGGGGCTAGGAGCCAGAACTCCTGGGGTCTCTCCCGTCTCTGGGAGGGGAGTGGGGGCTGGGGGGTCAGAGCAGGGGGCTAGGAGCCAGAACTCCTGGGGTCTCTCCCGTCTCTGGGAGGGGAGTGGGGGCTGGGGGGTCAGAGCAGGGGGCTAGGAGCCAGAACTCCTGGGGTCTCTCCCGTCTCTGGGAGGGGAGTGGGGGCTGGGGGGTCAGAGCAGGGGGCTAGGAGCCAGAACTCCTGGGGTCTCTCCCGTCTCTGGGAGGGGAGTGGGGGCTGGGGGGTCAGAGCAGGGGGCTAGGAGCCAGAACTCCTGGGGTCTCTCCCGTCTCTGGGAGGGGAGTGGGGGCTGGGGGGTCAGAGCAGGGGGCTAGGAGCCAGAACTCCTGGGGTCTCTCCCGTCTCTGGGAGGGGAGTGGGGGCTGGGGGGTCAGAGCAGGGGGCTAGGAGCCAGAACTCCTGGGGTCTCTCCCGTCTCTGGGAGGGGAGTGGGGGCTGGGGGGTCAGAGCAGGGGGCTAGGAGCCAGAACTCCTGGGGTCTCTCCCGTCTCTGGGAGGGGAGTGGGGGCTGGGGGGTCAGAGCAGGGGGCTAGGAGCCAGAACTCCTGGGGTCTCTCCCGTCTCTGGGAGGGGAGTGGGGGCTGGGGGGTCAGAGCAGGGGGCTAGGAGCCAGAACTCCTGGGGTCTCTCCCGTCTCTGGGAGGGGAGTGGGGGCTGGGGGGTCAGAGCAGGGGGCTAGGAGCCAGAACTCCTGGGGTCTCTCCCGTCTCTGGGAGGGGAGTGGGGGCTGGGGGGTCAGAGCAGGGGGCTAGGAGCCAGAACTCCTGGGGTCTCTCCCGTCTCTGGGAGGGGAGTGGGGGCTGGGGGGTCAGAGCAGGGGGCTAGGAGCCAGAACTCCTGGGGTCTCTCCCGTCTCTGGGAGGGGAGTGGGGGCTGGGGGGTCAGAGCAGGGGGCTAGGAGCCAGAACTCCTGGGGTCTCTCCCGTCTCTGGGAGGGGAGTGGGGGCTGGGGGGTCAGAGCAGGGGGCTAGGAGCCAGAACTCCTGGGGTCTCTCCCGTCTCTGGGAGGGGAGTGGGGGCTGGGGGGTCAGAGCAGGGGGCTAGGAGCCAGGATGCCTGTGTTCTGTTCTGGCTCTGGGAGGGGGTAGGAGCTGGTGGTTGAAGAGGAGTGGGGTTTATGGCTGGGCACTTCGACAGGGAATGCAGAAGGGACTTGTGGCCCTGCTCAACCACTCCCCATTCTCTCCTTTTCAGGTCACCACGGCATCCGGCACCAAATGCTTTGCCTGCCGCTCAGCTGCTGAGCGCGACAAGTGGATTGAGAACCTACAGCGGGCCGTGAAACCCAACAAGGTGGTGGGGGCAGGGAGTAATGGGTGACGGAGCTAAAGGGTGGGAGGCTGGCTTCAGCACCCCTGGATGGCAGCATGGGCTCCCCTCTGTCCTCCTCCCCTCCACATTCATCATGTGTACCCCATCTCCCTCCTTGCTCACCCACAGCTCCTCAGGAGTCACGTTACCCCAGGGCCTCAGCACCCCAAACCCTGTGCCTGGAGATCCGCTGCACTTGCCCACAGAGCACTCCTGGGCTACGTCTACACTGGCCCCTTTTCCGGAAGGGCATGTTAATTTCAGAGATCGCAATAGGGAAATCCGCGGGGGATTTAAATATCCCCCGCGGCATTTAAATAAAAATGTCCGCCGCTTTTTTCCGGCTTTTAGAAAAGCCGGAAAAGAGCGTCTACACTGGCCCCGATCCTCCGGAAAAAGCGCCCTTTTCCGGAGGAAAAGCCAGAAAAAGGCGGCGGACATTTTTATTTAAATGCCGCGGGAGATATTTAAATCCCCCGCGGATTTCCCTATTGCGATCTCTGAAATTAACATGCCCCTTCCGGAAAAGGGGCCAGTGTAGACGTAGCCCTGGTGCACCACAGCACTGACCCCAGCCTGCGCCTGTTCAGCCTGCCGATCCACAACCTCCCAGTTCTCCATGAGCCCGTGTTTACCCTATGCGCATGTCAGAGTAACACCCAGCCTCCTGTCTGAACCCTGAGCCCCCAGAGTAACACCCAGCCCCCAGTCTGAACCCTGAGCCCCCAGAGTAACACCCAGCCTCCTGTCTGAACCCTGAGCCCCCAGAGTAAC